CTCCTAGATAGGTCAGTTGGTTGAGAAGTATTTTGGCTACGATTTGTGGTAAATGTATGTAAATGTAGCTAGACGTATTTTCATGGGATTATAAACCAACTTTTGAGTGGTACCCTTCCTGCAACTGGATATTGAATTCAACTATCTCCGCGACAAAACCGTCCAGGGCTCCGAACCCGGCTGAGTACTCCGTCCACTTTGACTCGAAGGCTCGCCACAGTGGACGATACGTCCTGGACTCCCCTAAGGCAGATCGAGACCAACCCGATCGAGATAAAGGTTAGTATGAGTTGCGTAAACGTGAACATGAATCTGAATATACATGAATATGCATGAATATACAAATAATTACATACTTCCATACACAGATGCATATGAATATATATATATGTAAGTACATATAATAATAGCAATAATAATAATAATAATAATTTTAAGAATAATAATAATAAATAATGGTACGTAAATGATTAAACTAATTAATTGAATAAAATAATTAAATTAGTTAAATTAATTGATTAATTGATAATAATGATAAATAAATATTAAAAAAATATACAATAATAATAATAGTAAATTCAAAAATAAGAATAATTTAAAGTAATAACAACAACAAAATAAATAAATATATATATATAGTTATATTCATATATATATATATATATTATAGATAACAAATAAATAAATAGATAAATAAATAAATAATAACAATAATAATAACAAAGTAATAATGATCATTAACAAATATATATATACATATGTATACATAGCATGTAAAAACCCCAAACCTAAACAGCCCCTTTTCCCCGGCGGCTCCTCGACCTGGCCGGTGACCTTCCGCTCCAAGGCAGAGAGCCCCACGTCGGCCTTGCGCACCACCTGGGCAGTGTTGACCCGTTTAGACAGTTTAGAAGAAAAGATTGCTTTTTTGCCCCAAACCCACTTCAACAAGTATTTGAGGGATGTGTGTTTGTAATATATATATATATGAAAATTGGAAGATGTTTTGTTGTTCCGTCTATGTATATCAATTGTTCCGTCTATGTATATCAATTTAAGAAAGACGTGTAAAATATGTATATATATATGTACATATATATGGTCATATGAATGTTGTACGCTGATTAGTGTCTGGTCCCTCTATTGTGGAAAGTGTTCTTCCGAAGTAATTTAGGACCCCTTGAGCTCAGACCCAATTGTCAAGGAGGAGAAACTAGCCCCTAAAAAATTGTCCTTCAACTGTTGTATCTTGCTTAGCTGCATCTTACTTCGCAGCATTCATCTTGAATCCTTAAAATGTCAAGATTCGCCAATCAATTTCATGACTCGATGCCAAGATCAATGAGTTGGACCTGAGCCTTCACAAGCTGAGAAATGAATCCCCTCTTTGGGGAACAAATGAAATGCAAGTAGATTCAAATGAAATGAAATCCTTACTTATCCTCAGGATTCTTTTTGAAAATGAAGGCAAATCATTTGAAAGCAGATTTATCTCAATTCAAATCCGCGCTTATCCTGATGATATTCATGACCTTGCTTTCCCGGACCTGGTCACAAGAAAATGGACCATTAAGAGAGTACCCCTCAATTTTTTGTACACTATCAGCGCAGAAATATATATATATGGAATGTAGTTACATACAGTAATTATATGTATATACGTATGCACACAGGGGTTAACCAACTTTTAAAACGCGCGGCTTGAGAAAGGGTAAAACAACTCCAGGTCTATGCGCTGTTGAAAGACATCAACCTCCTGAGACTTCACCTGCGCTGATTGCGTCATCGCATCCCAATTTTGATTGCTTCGCTTCCACAAATTGATCTAACATAGCAGATCCACCTATGAGATGTCTTTACTTGTTTTAACATGGTGATCTGAAACCGTGTTGCGCAGATTTGGCTGTGTCCAAAGTGGAAAACCTTGCCAAGGAAAATGATGTTGTTAAGCAATGGATTTGAACTCACTTGGATGATCCTGGAAATTACAACTTGAGAGGGGGAACACGAAAGGTAGGTAAGCAAGAAAGGAACCGAAGAAAAAATGAAGGGGAGAGGGGAGGGAAAAATACATAAAGTGGAGTCTGGTAAAAGCGACGCGGCCATTTTCTTTCCAAAAATATGAAGGGGAGTCTGGTAAAAGCGACTGAAAGGCTTCGGCGATGTGGTTGGGGTTGGTGGTGGTTGTGGTGTTGGTGGTGTTGGTGGTGCTGGTGGTGTTGGTGTTGTTGGTGTGGTAGTGTTTTGGTGTTGTTGTTGTTGGTGGTGGTAGTGTTTCTGGTGTTGTTAGTGTTGTTAGTGTTGTTAGTGTTGTTGGTGTGGTTGGGTTTGTTGGTGGTGTTGGTGTTGTTGGTCGTGTTGTTGGTGTTGGTATTGTTCGTGTTCGTGTTGTTGTTGTTGTTGTTGTTGTTGCTGTTGTTGCTGTTGCTGTTGTTGCTGCTGCTGCTGTTGATGGTGTTGTTGTTGTTGTTGTGTGTTGTTGTGTGTTGTTGTGTGTTGTTGTGTGTTGTTGTGTGTTGTTGTGTGTTGTTGTGTGTTGTTGTGTGTTGTTGTGTGTTGTGTGTGTTGTTGTTGTTGTGTGTTGTTGTGTGTTGTTGTGTGTTGTTGTGTGTTGTTGTGTGTTGTTGTGTGTTGTTGTGTGTTGTTGTGTGTTGTTGTGTGTTGTTGTGTGTTGTTGTGTGTGTGTTGTGTGTTGTTGTGTGTTGTTGTGTGTTGTTGTGTGTTGTTGTGTGTTGTTGTGTGTTGTTGTGTGTTGTTGTGTGTTGTTGTGTGTTGTTGTGTTGTTGTGTGTTGTTGTGTGTTGTTGTGTGTTGTTGTGTGTTGTTGTGTGTTGTTGTGTGTTGTTGTGTGATGTTGTGTGTTGTTGTGTGTTGTTGTGTGTTGTTGTGTGTTGTTGTGTGTTGTTGTGTGTTGTTGTGTGTTGTTGTGTGTTGTTGTGTGTTGTTGTGTGTTGTTGTGTGTTGTTGTGTGTTGTTGTGTGTTGTGTGTGTTGTGTGTTGTTGTGTGTTGTTGTGTGTTGTTGTGTGTTGTTGTGTGTTGTTGTGTGTTGTTGTGTGTTGTTGTGTGTTGTTGTGTGTTGTTGTGTGTTGTTGTGTGTTGTTGTGTGTTGTTGTGTGTTGTTGTGTGTTGTTGTGTGTTGTTGTGTGTTGTTGTGTGTTGTTGTGTGTGTGTTGTGTGTTGTTGTGTGTTGTTGTGTGTTGTTGTGTGGTTGTTGTGTGTGTTGTGTGTGTTGTGTGTGTGTTGTGTGTTTTGTGTGTTGTGCGTTGTGCGTTGTGCGTTGTGCGTTGTGCGTGTGCATTGTGCATTGTGCGTTGTGCGTTGTGTGTTGTGCGTTGTGTGTTGTTGTGTGTTGTTGTTGCGTTGTTGCGTTGTTGTGTGTTGCGTGTGTTGTTGTGTGTTGTTGTGTGTTGTGGTGTGTTGTTGTGTGTTGTTGTGTGTGTGTGTTGTTGTGTGTTGTTGTGTGTTGTTGTGTGTTGTTGTGTGTTGTTGTGTGTGTTGTGTGTGTTGTGTGTGTTGTGTGTGTGTGTGTGTTGTGTGTTTTGTGTGTTGTGTGTTGTGCGTTGTGCGTTGTGCGTTGTGCGTTGTGCATTGTGCGTTGTGCGTTGTGCATTGTGCATTGTGCGTTGTGTGTTGGTGTTGTTGTTGTTGTTGTCGTCGTTGTTGTTGTTGCTGTTGCTGTTGCTGTTGGTGTTGTTGTTGTTGGTGTTGGTGTTACCCCTGCAGCGTTTTTGCTCGGTTCCGTAGTGGCCGAAAATCGTCAAATCGGTGGTGTTTTCGCGTGTTTTTGCAACTCTCGGAGCAAAAAACACCGTAAATACCGATGTTTTTGGCGGGTCGGAAGCCCAAAACCACGGTATTTACGATGTTTTTTGCCTCTGGTAGTAAAAAGCACGGTATTTACAGTGTTTTTTGGCCAGCACCTAGCAAAAACACTGGTATTTACGGAGGTTTCACCATGTAACAAAATGTGGTTTCTTGATCCGAAAAGAACAAAAATACTGTAAATTACAATGTTTTGAGTCTGCTCTTAGGGTGCGTGGGAGGTGTGGAGGGGGGGGGGGTACTAAAATGACTAGCAATCTCCTGAAGAATCAGGTAACGGGGCTGGCCGCCCTCCCCTTTACTTCGTAAAGTAAAACTCAAGGTAGCCCCTCTGGAGCTACCTTTCGTGATTAGGATCGATGAAGAAAGATAGGAAAGTTATTTATCACTATGTTAGTAGGATCTTACTTTTTTGGAGGGGGTACTATACACACTATATGTATCTATATGTAACAAAGAAGTATAACAAAGAATTACCATCCCAACATCGACTCGCCAAAAAGCACCGCAACCCATGTTTCTTTTAACGGCCTCAAAGACATCGTTGCTGTGCAGGTCAGTGCCCTCCTAGACGTCCAGGCGGACTTTCTTGAGATGCACTGAGATCATTTGTTTCATGGCATTTCTAACACTGGGATTTATGGAGTACCAGATTTCCAGAAATTGAAAATCTGGTAATCTGGTTCTCCTATTTTTTCCAGTGTTTCACCCTCATGTTCACCCTTCCTTTATGCTAATGGCCATAAGGCCAGTGTACACCGCTCCTGGCCACCATTGGTGAATTCATCTCGGAGCTGCTGCAATCCATCCTCAAGATTTGCCTCGCCCATAGTTTTGGTCAGGATGGTCAGGTTGGTGGGGGAAAAAAAACGTGGGGAACCATGCATTCAGTTGACACCTGACATATTTGTTTTTAAAAAAAAAATCGTGTAAATTCACCATTGAATCAGTTCTGAGATTGATTCAGCCAGTTGCCAGTCCACATGCCCAGCGGATTCTTTGAAGAGAGTCAGCAATGCCATTGCACAAAATCGAAATCGATTTTGAAGCCATTGAGAACCATTTACGGTGAAGCGATGTATGCAAACATTGTCAATATGGGTTTGTCTGAAAATATGGTATATTCCCAATTATAGCCATTTAATAGGGATAATGATCATTAACCATTGGGTTTAGGGGTACACTATTTTCAGACACACCCATATTGTTAATGCTGATGTGTGTCCCCACCTTTGTCGCTTCCACCATGCTGAACCCTCCAACCTTGTGTGGTTCCTGGTTCTCGCATAATTGATTGGTGACTATTTTCCCTCAAAAACTTGGCTCAAGTTGGGGATAATCCTAACCCAATCATAGAGGAACAAGTTATCATCAATAGATTATGGTTTAATCTAGTGAAAAATCATAGAGGAACAAGTTTATCATTGGGTTAATCCATTGTTGGGGTTTTTATCCCCCAAATCCTACTACCGTTGATCCTTTAATGGTCCCCATGGGACCAACATCCAACCGCCTGCAGCGCCCGAAGTTCTGCGTCCAAGGCTTCCTGAAAGGTCAGGAATAAGGTCACCATGGATTTCGCCAATGGGTCTATGAACTTCTTGGGGCACCAATGACACAAATCAGTAATAAATGGTGCTATTAATGACGATATAATGATAGATATATATATATATACACTATAATAGATATCACCATCATTCAATGGATTGGTTTTGTTGGGAAAATCTTAACCGGAAACCATGGTTTTTACCATCAAATTGGTTGGGCTTAAACCAGTAAATTTTCCCATCATCCAATTCTATGATAATAATATTATGACGATATAATGACACAAATCAAAATTATATACCCTAATGGGTCTATTACAGTAAATATAATTTTCTATTTTTTGGTATCGTGTCAATGAATGTCAATGATATCTACGTATTTAATATTTCATGGCCATCGCTGACACAAACTTTGCAGCTATGCCATGCAAAAAGCCTATCCCTGGGAGTATAGCTCACCCCCCTTTTAGAGCCTGGTTCTGTTCCATGGCAATGTATTTGGCCTGGCATTTCGTCGGTCCCGATGAGTCAAACTGAGCTGGACTTCCAAGGTTTCTGACGGGGGTCCACGGGGTCCACAAAGTCCACGCTTCGTCGTCAAGTCATGAGTATTCTCAACCTGTTTAGACTAGGTACCCCCTGGTCATTTAACATGGCTATGGAAAATCACCATTTTTGATGGGAAAATCCACTATAGATGGCCATTTTCAATAGCTATGTTAAATTACCAGAGGGTATGACTTGAGTACATCTATACAAGGTTTAGAGAACCTGGTTTAGGCACGGATGGTTCATGGTTTAGAGTGCATCTATACAATGAACCGAAACCATCCCGGTCACCCGTAGACTGACCTGTCATTGAAAGAGAAGTTCACAGCTTGAAAATATGATGCATGGAAATGTCTCAGCATGTGCTTGATCATTGATCATCACAGAATTCGTTCTACTTCCCCGCTGATAGTCCAACTTGACAACGGGTGAATCCCAATTTGAAGAGAGAAAGACTCAAGTCCCAATGTTTGTGTTTCTCCTTCCCAGTTCTCGGCCAGGCAATAATAGGGAAAAAATACTCAGCATGAAATTTGGCGTGAAAAAAGGACAAAACCATATTGCGCCTGCTAGTGCATGCTAATGCCAATAGTTTGCGGCGCCTCCAAATAGCCATCTCTGTGGGGTGCACTTCGCTGTCGAACCTCTGCCAGAAATGGAAGCATCTCACCCATGCATTTCTGGTGACACGCTGTACTGTAGAAGTGCGGAAACTACTGCGCAACAAATCCATGACGTCTAAATGTTTAAAGAATTTCAGATATCATATATCTTTTGTAAAATGTTCAAAGATTATCCACGATCCCGTTTTTGTGACATATCGAAAATCACTAGGAACACAGTCGGCAGAGCTTTCAATGATCACCGCCCCGGCCATGCCCACCTCATCTTCAAGTGTCGACACACGTCGCAAGACCTGAAAGGCGCAACCGCGCAATGTCGATGGCTTTGTCGGGGTTGGTGTCAACACCCACAAGAAACATGTAATGTGGGTAAAAGAATAATAAACCACCCCAGTTTTTATGGTTTATACCACCTATTTATGGTGCTTTTGGGGATGGTTTATCATTGCTTTAACCACATTAAGTCAATTGGGAAGCATCATCATCATCCGAAATAGGGATTATCATCAGTCGAAAGGGACCGAGACCCTCTTCTAGAACCAACCTCTTGAGGAAAAAATGACCACAATAACGATGATCATCAATGACGGTTATGACATAAATGATGATTATGATGTACCATTGACAATAGGTTAAAAGAAACAACAATACTACTAGTAACGATACATGAGATACATGGTATTGTTCATCGATTTATCTATTTATCTATTTATCTATTTATCTATTTATCTATATATCATATATGTTTCTATAGATCTATTTATCTATTTAACTATTATCTATGTATATATTTATCTATTTACCTGTTTATATGTTTATCCTATCTACTTATCTATTTATCTATTTATCTATTTATCTATTTATCTAGTTATCTATTTATCTATTTATCTATTTATCTATTTATCTATTTATCTATTCATCTAATTATCTATGGATCTATGTATCTATATATCTATTTATCTATATATTTTATCTATTTATCGATTTATCGATTTGTCGACTTATCGATTTATCGATTTATCGATTTATCTATTTATCGATTTATCTATTTATATATCTATTTATCTGTTTATTCATGTTTCATTTATTCATTCCCTCCTTCCTTCCTTCCTTCCTTCCTTCCTTCCTTCATTCATTCATTCATTCATTAATTTCATTTCATTCACTCACTCATTAATTAATTCCTTCGCTCATTCATCTATTCATATATATATATATATGTATACACATAGAGTTTAGACACAGCCGCCACCCAGTAAGAGTGGGCAATGGAGGTTGATAAGAAATCCGAATCAATCAGAGATGATAGTTCTGAACGAACGTAAAATAGTCGTAAATGTATCGATATGATGTTTTGAAAAAGAATCGTCATAGGCCTCCTCCAAGGAGTGTTCGGTGCGTCGCAACTTGGTTGCCTGGGCTTAGCGACTAGCGGTCATGCCATGGAATTTGAGCCCATGTGGGATGAATATCCACAACCAACCGTTGATCAACTGTTGTTCTGTGAAACCCAGGGTAGAGAGATTGGTATTGATCGGTTCCGATTCGATCCCCACATGTGAAACGATGATTTTTTCCCAAAAAGATACGCAAAATAAAAGGATACGATTGGTCTGATCCATTCTTGGCAGCTGTCAAATTGTGAAGTCCAACGTTTACTTCTTCTATCCCGATTTTTGGGAGGAAACCCCAAGTTTTGGTGACATGCAAGAATACCCCCCAACAATTCGATGACGTCGCGCCTGTCGCTTTTGGAGCTCCTGGAAAGACAGGCGAGATGACAAAAACTTGGCTGGGGAATCCCAAAAATTCTACAAAGGTATTTGTTGGTTCACCCAAAGAATGGAAAGCGGGTCAGTTGACCCCGTTACAAAGAGGATAAGGAGGACGAATCCATTTAATAGCCGGCAGGAATTTGACCCACTTACGATTCGGCAAAGCACCAAATAAGAAATCTACAAATGATGATCCATTGCCTGGGTAGGATTTTTTTTGCAAAAATATGTATTCACAACAAGATGGAGATATGGACTGAAGTTTAGCTGACAAAACAATTGCCAACAGCAACAGCTGATGATCCCGGGGACGGATGAGCGCCGCCTGAGGTCAAGGACATCTGCACATGCAATTTTTAACATATCAGGTCAATGTTGGCACTGTTCTGTTTTCGAGAAATATCAAAATATGTATATATATATATATACTGTATATACTTCACTAACTCAAAGTTTTGCCTTCTCGTGGCTACTACCCCTACTAACCATCATTCAGTCACGTCGCAGCGAAGTCATCATATTTCATACAAACCCATACGGACGCCCAAAAAAACGAATCACCTGATCATGAATGTCATGACTGGACCCTGGAAACAGTTGCAAGTTCAACGACTGGTGAACATCCTGAAGCAAAACGGTTTGCAGGCATCTTCCACCGGACCCTCCACTGGACCACCCTTATTTAGGTTTGTCTCAAGACTGGGGACGCCCCAAAATTGCCAAGTTTGATGGGGAAATAGAGTGTGAGTTGGATGCCCGGCGCCCTTGATATTGCAGACCATTTGTTCCTGATCAGAATTTTTCATATCCCATCTGATATCTTGTGTTTGTGAAATGTTTGTAACGGATCCACAATGAATCATCCCAAGATGCGTTTTATAATTGGGTAAAGCCCCCTTTGGCTGATTGCTAATGGCGCGAAAATGTTGTTGAGTGTGATTTTTCGTTGTCATCACTATGATTTCAACCATGTCCGTTTGGAAATCACAGACGGGCCGGTCTGGCATGCCATTGTCATCACCAACCAGCTGGTTGGAAAGGGGGTGAGCCCCCTACTTATCAACAAACTGATAGAAAAATGGCATCTGCCATTACTACTAGCATGATTATGAATGTTGCGGATCCTGCTGCTGCTGCTTCAATTCCAGGGAACAGGTACAACGCTCTTCGCTCCCGAAACTGCAATCCTCTCAAGTTGGGAACTGACGGGCCTTTGCCCAGGCCAGTTTGTTCGCTTTTAGGTTGAAGGCATATTGTGAAATGACTGCGGGTCTTGGGTGGCTTATGGGGAGCCTGAGCCGCTTGGCGCTCGTATGTGTTTTGAATGATGCTTGGCCGGCTTTCATGGTACATGTCTCCAGGGCATATGTCCGCAGCCCAAAGACTAAAACGAAAGCTTGAATGCTCCAAATCAGGCGCGAAGCCGCCGACAAAAACAAAAGGAAAAGTAGCTTGCAGAGCAAGCGTACCTTTGGTAATAAATGTCTGGAACGCGTCTGTCTCTTCAACCGGGCACTTACGGGAAAAAATATTGTACTGCAGAGCTGTCACCACCAACTGTTGGCTTGCCCCATGTCACAACAGAGTCATCTTGCAGGATCACAGCAAAACGTACCAGCTATGCAGCGGCAAACATCTCGAGAAGTGTTTCCTGCTGGATACCGTATGGACTCAGCAAATGAAATGGCGCTGTCTTGAAGAAAATCTGGAACCAATGCCTGCCAGATACATGCCACACATGTTCTGGTTCAATAGTTGAATACCCAAAGATGGACGAATACCACTCTGGTTCTTGAGTGTTATTGTATTGGGATATATGATATATCCCATATATCACGTTAATCTCTCCCTCTCTCTCCCCATTGTAGCATGTTTGCTGAAATATCTCCCCAATGTTGCATCATATTTACATCCCAATGTCACATCATTGTATCATAATGTCACATCACATTACATCCCAATATGTCCCATTAGAGGTGAGACCAAACTATAAGCTCTGGGTGAAAATCATGGCTATCGCTGGTTGGTGGGTTCTGAACAACTTTAAAAATATCTCACTGTATGCCCATATGACTATTTTCGGCAAAACCCTGGCACCCTACCCTAAAATAGCTGGTAAATGGATGTTTATTCATGGTTATAACAGTCTGGTTGGTGGTATACCTACCCCTCTGAAAAATATGAGTCAGTTGGGGATGATGACATTCCCAATATATGGAAAGTCATAAAAGCCATGTTCCAAACCACCAACCAGATCATCATCATATTCCCATTGTTCTTGGTTTATACCCTATTATTAACCGCTATTAATATCACTATGTTCCAGTCACCACCAACTAGTGTTTGTTGGTTTATAACATGTTATACCCTCCGGTAATTTAACATAGCTATTAAAAATTGCCATTTATAGTGGATTTACCCATTAATAATGGTGATTTTCCATAGCTATGTTAGTTTACCAGAGGGTACCCAGTTTTGACCCATCCCCACATGTGGCTGTGTTGTCATCCTCTGCAGCCGCGGCAGCCAGGCGATTCTGCTGTTCCAGTGCCTGGACCTGGCGATGTTTTGAAAAAAAAAAACGCTGTCCTCAAAATATGGTTCCCGAGCCAAATCAGCATCTATGATACATACATACATACATACAATACAATACAATACAATACAATACAATACAATACAATACAATACAATACAATACATTACATACATACATACATACATTACATACATACATACATACATCCATGCATACATCCATGCATGCATGCATTACATTACATTACATTACATTACATTACATTACATTACATTACATTACATTACATTACATTACATTACATTACATTACATTACATACATACATATATATACATATATATGGTGCATATATATATATATATATATGGTGCATATATATATATATTATGGGAGGATCATTGACAAAAATTGTGTAGTTCTTTTAGCCCATGTTTGATTACAAGAGGGTAAAACCAAAATCTGAGTTCTTAGCCTCTGGTCATATATTAATTGCGGAGTTAATCACAAAAAATTGAGATTTGAACAGCAATACTCGCAGTATGTTGACATTGGAAAAACGATGTTCTTGGGCGCCTGAAAATGGTCGTTTACACTCCAACGTACCCTCTGGTAATTTAACGTAGCTATTGAAACTGGCCATTTATAGTGGATTTTCCCATTAAAAATGGTGATTTTCAATAGCTATGTTAGTTTACCAGAGGGTAAGCAGCTATCAAATAATGGAGAAAACTGATTGACCAGTGGAGATAATGGTAGTTTCCAATTCTTAGGCGAACCCTGGATCCAATTTGCAAAATGCTGGTTCATGTGTGTCTATCATCGACAGTGACAATGGTCTTTTGTCTTTTTGTGGCTGTCCGTGACCCAAACTGACAGAACCTTCTCGAAGAAATGCAAAAAAAGACTGACCACTATTCAAAACTTTACCCTCTGCTATATAATCCAACATAGCTATGGAAAATCACTGTTATAGAATGTAAGTAATCGAACTAAATGGGACATGGCTTCATAGCCATGTTAGTTACTACCATGGTAACGGTAGAGTCAAAAAATCTGCCAGGATATATTGGATCAATGAGCCCTGAGGCTTGGAATTCAGCCTGCTGCTCGAGCTCGCGATTTCGCTGTTTCGAAGCCTCCGACCTATCTGCACGGTCACAACTTGGGGAGGTCTGGATGGAGTTGATTTACAGAAAACCATAATGTGTTCCGTCATTAAAGATACGGCTTTGCAGATATTCCCTTCCAATTCTGCGATGGTCATGCTTTCCCACACCCGCTTTTGTCATGATCTGAACATTGGGAGGAAACAAGTCGGATCCTCGCATCCCCTTGTCACAAGGGTCGCCAAGTGTTGTGTTGTGTATTAAAAATCCCTATAAGCATCTCCATAAGATGCAACAATCATGTAATTTCTCGCAATGTTTGCACATGTTTGAATATGTGCGCATTGATTGTCCCAATTATCCCATACCTAAACCATGTGTCACTTCTTGATGGGTTAGTTCTCCCATGTTCTCCCATCATTCTCCATGAGAAAAATTCCCCATACTATGAATATCCCTTATCAAATATCCACTAGAAATCCCAAGAAAAAAATGACCATGGTCATCCCACTATCCATCAATGGATTGGTTTAAGGGAAAGTTGGAAAGGGACAACCCCATATTTAAAAAATGGGAAAATCGGAAAGGCTTCCGGTTTTCCCATGTTTCCGCAGAAACCATTGAATAAAGAATTTATGACATGATATTACATGTTCAACATTGTTTAACCATGTTCATCCTAGAAATCCCATAAAAATATCCCAGAAAAAAAAAGGCACCACATCAGTCCCAGGACGGGACTAACCCCGGTCGTCGGCCACGGCACCCACTGGTGCGCGCCCACAAGCGTTCGTCCAGGCCATCCAGGCGTCGAGCCAACGCCTGCGTCTCCTCGTTTCGGATGGGATTCAGCCGATGGTCGCGTCATATAAATGGCTTATGAATGGCTTAAGAATGGCTGAAATAATAGTTTATGATGGTTTAATCATGATGATATATGTATGTTTGATATTGTTTTTTATTTAATAATGATTACATATGTGTGTTTGATATTTTGAAATTATCCTGATGCTTGGTGAACATTAAAATTATCCCGTATAAATACATATTAATGTGGGAAACCCAAGGCCATAAACCTACCATTTGGGGATGGTAAACATAGCACCCATTAACATGGTGATTTGGGGGATGGTCTATGAAGTTAGGTTTGCCAAAATGGCTTAATGATGGGTATTATACATATATATATATATGTATATAATTACCCCGACATGGTAAAGGTAAACCCAATAATATGTCACAATACTGTTGATGGAAAGAAAAAATCTGCACCAGTTGATAGGTGGTTTTTCCCATTATTTATAGGGATTCAACCATCCTTTTGGTGGTGCAGGATTTCGCAACCATCCACAGTATGACTTAGTTCTGGGACGATTAATGAACACATATTCAAACATGTCGTGGGATAATAGTGAGAAATGATATAGTGACACCATCCCGAATGGAGGTTTACTAAGCAATGGGATGATGTAAAACGACCCCCTGGCTGGTGGCTAACGGGATGGTTTATGGTTGGGTTTACCTCATTCATATGAAAAGATCCGTGGAAAATTGATGGGAATGTAATGGGATATAATTTTATACCCTCTGGTAATTTGTTACATAGCTATTGAAAATGGCCATAGAAATAGTGGATTTTGCCATGAAAAATGGTGGATCTTTCCATAGCTTTTTGTATGTTTACCAGAGGGTAACCATCAAAGATTTCAAATTTAGAATCTTGAAGCAACAAAAGTGGAGATGTCACCCGGAAAAATTGGCATTGAGCGTATATATATATAAGCGCATCCCCGTTCATTTTTTTTTAACACACCCGCATGGCTGGCCTTCCTATGGTCCCAGTCATATGTACATCTTTCATCCCCTACATCCACCGCAGAACTGGGGATTCATGGGACTCAAGCTGGCTAAACCCCTACACATCCCTACACTCCCTTTTTCGCCTGGAGATCCGGAGATTGGGGATGATGATTTTATCGGTTTTTCTGGGGATATCATGGGGATATCATTTTGGATATCAATGGGAACAATGGGAACCAACAATCATGATGCATCCGTCACAAAGAAGATGGGATCAACCCCGCGGTGTCCTCAAGCAATCCACTGACGCTTCCCTGCACCTCCGCCCAGCGTTCCTGGCGTTAATCCAGTTGAATACATTTTACCCTCTGGTAATTTGTTACATAGCTATTGAAAATGGCCATTTATAGTGGATTTTCCCATTCAAAATGGTGTTTTTCCATAGCTACGTTAAATTACCAGAGGGTAAACATGTTTCAACAGGAACAGCCAATAGAGTTTTCAGAAAATCTGTCTATACAAAAAGGAAATCATTCCCCCGGACCCTTCCAAAGTTTTTGTTCATTGGAACCACGCTTCGACACGGGGGCAAACGCACAGCGGTGTGCAAATCCGCCAGCAGCACGCGTCCATCAGGCTTCTCGGCATCAACCTTCGCCTCCGCTGGATTTGTCGTTTTGGACCAGTGATGACCAGTGGAGGCTGTCACTCCTGGTTTTTGTTGCTATCTGAAGTGACTCACAGTTGGACAACACTGACAAGACGATGACAAGACGACATCATCTAAAGATGCAGCACAGTGCCAAACATGACGTGTCAAGAAGGACCTTGGTCTGCTTACTCATTGTCCAGCTTTGGGTCATGATGGGCCCTGAAGGACAAAGCTCAACAATCACAATCCCCTGAACTCGTCGTGTCCGCCAAACCTCGAATTTCTTCTCCAACTGTGCCAAACGCCGCCTCAGAGTAAAAAAAACATAGCCGACTGGAAAGCCCTTCTTCCCCCAGATCAAAATGCCAGTCCAGTCACCCAAGGAAACAGCCTTTAGCCAGGTGACTTGGCCATTGCAGCATTTGTTTTCCCGTTTGGAACAACTCAGTAATCGCGAAAAATCGTGAATTCCAACGAGTCATGACGTTTGGTTACAGTATTTTGGGGCCGATATGGTTTGTTTCATGCCAACAATGGTTTCATGTCCATTATATCCATTATCATCACTCCCACATAGTCCATTCAGGTGTATTCCATGGTATCTCCCCAAGATCCTTCACTCAACTTTCAACCGAAACCCCACCGAAGATCGATGGGGATCCCGGCCGGTCAGTCTCGCACTGCCGCTGGAGCATGGTGACCTGGATGAATTTCACGGTGATTTTCTCACCTGGGACCCTGCGACTGGCTGAAACCACCACGAATTTCGTGCTGCGCTGAGCTCCAAGCTCCTGCATTGATACGTTCTGCCAGGGCAGTGAATTGGTTCTGCATGACCTGTGCAGATGATGAGGAAAGAAAGGGAAATCCCACAATGCAATCCGGAAAAGACAGTAATAAACCAACCACAATCTATCCCAAGCTTGGTGTTTTTTCAGTGGCATGTTTTTCGCCATATCGAAAAACATTGTTCTTTTTCCCGAATGTTTTACAGTATCATATATCAATATGATACAATATGCATGATATATCATGATATGGGTTTACCACATTAAGAATGATTGGGTTTCCCACAATAATCGTCAGTAGCTGATAACCTGGTACCCCCAGTTTGAAACTTGGCCCGATCTCCCAGTTTTACGCGCACCGTGCGGGAAAGGCTCGCAGCCTCGGATCCAAAAAACCATGGGCATTGAAAGATGAAAGATGATCCCCATGGAATAAAAACCCCATCCCCATATCCCCATGTTTATTGCTTGCATCCCCATGTTTCATGGTTAAAAGATCCATTTTTTTGTGAAAAATCCCAACATTTGAGGCTGATATGGCTGATATAAATCATGATAAATCCCAATTTTTCCCCATTCTTCGTCAATTCATCCCCCAATCGCCACGGTTAAGGCACGGTTAAGTCCCCGACTCGGCCATTTCCATTGCCTGTGCCATGGCCACCATGGCCACCATGGCCGCCCATCACAGGAGCTGCCCCGCGATCTCCGGGCTCCCAAGCCTGAGAGGATGTAACTTTTATATATTGATTTTTTGGGATGTAAGGGATGCCCCAGGGTTGGTTAAAATCGTAAAATAGTGATATTCCAAACCACTAGTAAAAGGTGTAATGAGTTTAATGAGTGTATAGAAATATAGAAGCAACACTTGATGGTGATTTTATGGGGGTATCACGGGGGTATGACGGAGTCATACTGATGGTATAATGGATGTGTAAACTAATGAGTCATAGTGTCCAGCCCCATGTTGGCTTCAACCTAAATGATTTTTTGACCAAGCAAACAATGGGAGTTGACCAAGAAATGAGCCATGAAAGATACCTGTATCCCATCCCATTACCTAGTGACCTAGTGGTTGGTGAATAGGTATCCTGTATAGACATCTATAGACTATATATACAACAATAAACCATGTAGGCTTTGTCGTTCGATTGTCCAAGACGACTGTTTTCTTCATAGCAAGGACGTCATTCCAGCGTTGTGATCCGAAGGTCATAACACCCAGCTGCACATTGGGGATCCTGAGGGCCCTGCACTGTTAGGGCTTGAGCAAATCGAATTGTTCATGCTCCTGAGTCGCGCAGAGCAAGGTCCATCACCCAGCTCGAATTTGTAGTCGTTGTCTGACCATTTGCAATCCACTGACTGAATCAGAAAGCTGTGGATTTCAGATCTCTCCCATCACTCCAAGTTGCTCCCCACATCCCAGCGCGCCAGCTGGGTCACCTTGGTTAAATCCAAACTTTTGGCCACAGAAATCCAATGGTTTGGTGATGTTTGGTGAAACTGGCTGAACATCTTTTTTCCCCAATTCCAACTGCCGGCCTCTCGAGCGCAACCCAATATTTGGGGCCTAAAATCCAATTACGTGAAGTTCTTAAAAAACCCGATTCTTGCTGGCTAGAATCTCATTGATATCCACTCTTGGGTTGTTAAAATTCCCATGTTTGCCGAATTTGCGTTGGTATCCAATCTGGGGCTGTTAAAGCTCCCATTTTTTGCTGGTTGAAATCTCGTTGATATCCAATTTTGGGTTGTTAAAACTCCCGTTTTGCTGGTGAAAATCCGGGTATGGGTCAAGTCGTTGAGTACCCATTGGATGGTTGAGCTCCAAATGGAGTCCAGCTACGGTCGTTGATGAAATCTCCATTTAAGAGGCACCAACTACCCTATATTAATTTATATTATATATATATATATAAATATAAATATACATATAGACATACTAATCAATAAACATAGTTGATATAAGTTCCAAGGATCACATAGGACGACGTTTTGGATCACTGAGGCCGACAATCTTGGATGCTGGGGACTGGGGACAGTGGGGACAACTAGAGGTTTCCGACTATAACATCTATAACCAATTCTGGATGATTTGGGGGTACTCCATTTTAGGAAACCACAAAATTTCGTTAGATTTCCTAAAATTTTTCCATAGATGGAAATCCAAAATCAATGGGAAAAAAATCAATGGGAAAAAAACTCAATTTCCATAGATTTCCCATTGATTTTTTTCCCACGTTCACCAGCTCTGGGCTTTTCCCACGAAGGAGGCTGGCGATACGCCGCATGTCCTGCCCAAGACTTCGCCGGAGAAGGACAGGTGATCGCCACGTGGCGACAAAAATTTTGGGATGTCACCAAAAAAGGGGGATCATCCCATAGAATTAGCTGGTTAATAGTGGTTAATTAGCTGGTTAATTAGCTGGTTAATAGTGGGAATTCACTAATTTGACCAAGAACAAATTGGAAAAATGACTGACAAATGGATGGTTATTACTGAAAATGGATGAAACCAGTCAAGATCTGTGGTTTTCTTTTGTGCCTTGAATCGTGTTTCATACCCGCTTCCAACCTGACACCTGTTCCCGGCTGGGGCCCCCACAATGGCCAAAGCACGTCGAGAAGGGCTGGCAGACCTTGCTTGACATACAGTATACACTGTGTTCTAGCAGAGGTCCCGTGGATAGTTGATGCAGTTGATTCCGACTTTGCAAACATCTGAATTTTGGAGTTCCAAGTTTTAGCCGGAAAACCGCAGCTGGTTTGGGAAAACCACTTCTGTCCATGTGAAGGTTCCCCTCATCTGCAGTCAGTGTCCTTGCTTCTTGCATTTTCCATGGAGGGTGTCGATCTTGCTTCCAAAATGGGATTCAAATTCATCGATGTCTATCAGAATCTGACTATCCAATGTCACAACGAATCTAGAGTATCCACATTTCCATCCATCCTTCTGTCCATCTGTCCCTCCATCTAGTATCTACAGTGTCTGTACAATCTTGATGTCTGGATCCCAACATTTCCTGATGGAAACTGCTTCGAGATCGCTCCAATTGTTGGACCCCAAGGACCGCAAGAAAAATCCTGATTGGCTCCTCCCAAAATCTGGAAACGACTTGATACAGCCAGATTTCGGAACAGAATTTCGGGACACAATCTCTCATTAGTGAAAGCAATACAGGAGATCAGGAAAGTATGTCACAGCTCAAGGGCAGCGGGGTATCGTTGCATAGCGGTATCGTCGTCATCGTCATCGTCATGGTCATCCTCCTCCTCGTCTGCCTCCTCCGCCTCCTCCGCCTCCTCCGCCTCCTCCGCCTCCTCCGCCTCCTCCGCCTCCTCCGCCTCCCCCTCCTCCTCTCCTCCTCCTCCTCCTCATCATCATCATCCTCCTCCTCCTCATCCTCATCCTCATGATCATCATCATCCTCATCCTCATCCTCATCCTCATCCTCCTCGCCGTCATCGTCACTATCATCCTCATCCTCCTCCTCCTCCTCCTCATCATCATCATCATCATCGTCGTCATCATCGTCGTCGTCGTCGTTGTCGTCGTCGTCATCGTCACCGTCATCATCGTCATCATCGTCATCATCGTCATCGTCGTCATCGTCGTCATCGTCATAGTCATGGTCATGGTAATCGTCATGGTCATCGTCGTCGTCATCATCATCGTCGTCGTCGTCGTCATCGTCATAGTCATGGTCATGGTAATCGTCATGGTCATCGTCGTCGTCATCATCATCGTCGTCGTCGTCGTCGTTGTTGTCGTCATAGTCATGGTCATGTAATCGTCATGGTCATCGTCGTCGTCATCATCATCGTCGTCGTCGTCGTTGTTGTCGTCGTCGCCATTCACATTGTTGCTCTTATATTCTGGACAAGTTATGATAACAAACCTGACAAACGAAAGACTATTTAAGTCATCACCTGCCCAGCTAGAAACCTCCGTTGAGTCGGGGATTTCCCAGCTAACCTCGTTGACACCGAAGGGTACCCAGAAAGGTTGGTTTCTCAGGTGGCAACAAACCCAGTGAAGCCCTTCAACCCATCAGATCTCGCACCTCAAACGACCTCCAAAAGGTCCAGGGCCAGCCTCAACAGCTCGATCTCCATGGATTTTTCAGAGAAATGTTGGGAATACTGGGTCAGCTGTGGGAACTGTGGGAAATGCTCACTCCAATTCGGATATCTCCAGTAATGCGGTAAAACCATAAACCTCCAGTTTTTGGATGGTTTGCACCACCCATGTAAAATAGCTCATGGTATCTGATGGTTTATTTTGGGGTCAGTTTATCAAAGTGGAGTGACAACCTGGAATAGATTAAAATCTTCGGCAAAAACAACTCATATACCAATAGGACCCGTCTTCTCCAATGGAGACTCTTTGCTATGGCTTGGATGGATCAGGTTTCCGAGGAAAAGTGGTTGCATCCACCAGGACGCTTTCTCTCATGAAATACAAACTGAAGCTGTGGATTTCTAGGGTTCTCAAGCCATGTTCAAGCCATGTTCAAGCCATTTTCCAGCCATTTGCTTAAAGCATGCTTCATCATATTGGCTGAAAATATCCCATGATATCCCACTATATCCCCATCAACCAATGGTTTTCAGGGCTGCTCCCAACTAGATACATTTTGGGGACCCTAGACAAGCTAAAGAAATAAAATGACCCCTTTGCCCCGCAAAACAATGTGCCTGTGATTCAACTATTCCAAGATGACGGTAACACACCCCTGGAGCATACAGTACTCCAAGTCCCTACAACGGCCCAAATAAAAGGAATCCTTTCATAAACAATCTTTTTCAGAATTTCAGACCTTTTTTGCTTGGAGCAACCATTGTTTTTTGGTTATATCTCCCAACTCATGGGGAAATTCACCATGGATATCTCTGAGAAGCCCCAGCAAGTCCACTGCCAAGACTGCCGCCAGCTCGAAAGGGAGAGGACTCGGAAGGGGCTGCAGGTGCTCTTTGTTAGGCAATGATAGATAATTAGATAATAATACCCTCTGGAACTTAACATAGCTATTGAAAAATGACCAAATATATAGTTGATTTACCTATTGAAAATGGTGATTTTCCATAGCTATGTTAAATTACCAGAGGGTAACAATAATAATAATAATGAGTATAGTAGATCATATATCACAATTATGATAATAGTATAAGATAATAACAGTGATGATAGTGGTTTAAGACTAATGATAAGCAACCCCCAGCCACAGATGCCGAAAATCTGGAAACCTGGAAAATATGGTTCAGAAACGTCATCGATTTCACATCCTGGAAACACTTTGGGGCATCATTTGGAGGACCTCTTATTATGGGAAGAACAATAGTAACAGGAGGTCTAATGATTCATATCACAAATGTGCACGAATGATATTACTAAGTCTACAGTCACATAGGAATCATATCACTTCTTTTCTGGAACCCTGAAAACGTCCCAAAAGATTCTCATTGTTTTTCACTCCAACCCAGACATCCTTGTTGGTGGCTGGTCAATTGCTCTGTCTCACTTATGAATATGTTCTTGATACATCCAATTTTGTATCCAACCCAATATATGATGTTCATTACATAACTTGTATCGTATTGGATTGTCGTCGTCGTCGTCATCATCATCATCATCGTCATCATCATTCATATATATATATTATATTATATTATATTATAATATAATATAATATAATATAATATATTATATTATATTATATTATATTATAGTATATTATATTATATATACATACATATATATATACTATATATATATGTGTAAATTATATATTATATATGTATAAATGTTATATTCTATTCTTTTCTGGAGGTAAGTCCCCCGTGATGGACAAACCAAAAAAGCCACAACGCCCGGGCAGTGGCACCCTGGTTCCCGCAGCTCCCGCGTCCATGTCGATCACCTGATGGCTGGCAACCCTGGATCAATAAACCCCTAGGCTGTTTCGCTGTTCAGGAGGCTACCATTCAAGTATTAGATTATGAATAGATTATGACTATTGGAGGAGTACCCCCTAATTAATAAACCATGGTTTATTAATCCGGGGTTGACATTAGCCAGTGAAATTTCACGGGTGGGTCTGCGGTTTCCCCGGTTTACCCGGTTTACTCGGTTTACCTGGTAAACGATGAATTTATGTGTTTTAAGCTGATTTCGTGAATTTTTACGGTTTCCCCGGTTTACCCCGAAATGGTGCTGACGGTCAGATCAATGCATGATATACGCATGGTAACTTCTCTCAACCCGGAACCTTCAATGAACAACACTTTGTTCAAGTCCCCACATCGAATATATGAAGGACAAAGTCAATCAAGAAGTTCACAAACGCTTAGCGCATCTTCTGGATTCTGATCTTCAGACAATTTTTGTACTTTGGGATGCGGCACCAACTTACGCCCAAATGCTACGGTTTGGCTTTGAATTACCAATCTGCTGACCTGTTCTTTACTCTCAAACAGCTTAAGGCCCGGCCTCAAGAGGGTGCCTTTCTTAGCTACCTTCCCTGCAAGGTAAGAAATGCGGACAATAGCGGGCGCCGGTGCTGCTGTTGTGGATCTTCAAGGTTTCCACGTGTTGATTTGCAGTGGGAGCATGTTTTCAATCTTGGAAAGTCAAACTGGAGCTCGGTGCTTTTCTTTTTAACGTCGGAGATGTTGAAAGGGTGTGTCAAAAAGGGTGCACATTCGTGATGTTCAAACGTGGAATAAATTTTCCACATCATTGCATCACAGCTTGAGGATGCCTGTCATTAGGATTCTTAAAATTCGTGCTATTCCTATTGCTACTACTGTTCTTCTCTATATCTATACTGCAGTGTTGCAAAGCGAGGACCAAGATGATTTGAACCCCAAGTCAGCTGGCAGAGCAAGGTGTCGGAAGCCACGGCATCAGCTTGGGAGGGGCCCACTTGGAAGATCATCATGCACTTCAACAGGGTGAAAAGCCAAGTCCTTATTTTCGGATGTAATGCTAAAATTGATGCCTCTTGAGCACTTTGCTCAAGTAGGGAGGCACAGCCTCGCAATTCCGGGAATCCTTCATTACGCATCTGTACATCTCCGCCAGGGTTGCGCCCAAAAAATGTTCCCCGGTGGAAGGGACGTCGCTGCAGGGTACAGCGACCTTCAGCCCCCTAAGTCTGCTCGCGTCGCAGTGGTTCGGGAAGGGAAAGGCTTCACCTTTCCAACCCAGTGATTCTGCGGATGAGCAAAGACCCTTTACCAAACATGGCATGATGAGATGGCGGATGGTAGCAATTGAGTGTCGAGATTT